TTGAAAGTTTATCTAAGATCAAGACACCAGATATAAATGAACTCAATATCATCCCTGAGCTCTCCCACATCTGGAAGACAGTGTGAAAGAGATCAATGAATTAGCAATGCAATTTAGTTCCTCACCTTAGCCCAATAATTAATATTCATTCATTAAAAAGAAGAAGAAAAATTAATATCCTAAGGTGAGTTTTAGGAAGGGGAAGAGCTTTCCTTCCCTCTGGAAAGCTTGTAAGCCTTGGAGCAAGGTCTAAAATTTATCCTTCCTAGTAAGTCAGACTGCTCTAAAGCATCTTTGCCTTTGACTGATACAACCTAAGAATCTAGCACATACACAGAGAACTGAATGAGATATATTTGATCTGCTACTCATTCTCAATTTGCATTACATTAATTTTTTTTATTTTTTTTCCAACTAAATGAACACAGCTTCTGACTGTGTGGAGTGTCAGGAAACTCGCTCTTGGTCCTCACGCAGAATCTCCATAATAAATAAAATCCCTGCTCTTACCTGGCCTGTCAAAACACATATTCTAACTCTTATATTGGTTTCATGTCACCAGACCCTCAAAACAATAAATGAAAACCAGACAAACATCTTAGGAACAGGAAAGGCCTCCACGTGCCTCCTCTCATTCTTGGTCTAATGTTAATCCATTTCCCTATTCCTAGGCCAACAATCTTCTCCCTCAAGCCCCAGTTCCTTCCCTCCCTGGAGGAAAGACTAGGTATTTCTTGAATTCATTTAATGTGTTTTTCCTTTTTTTCCTCAGTCATCTTCCTTAGTAACGTCTTCCATATGTCTGTGAGCCATTCTGTTAAAGAGCTCTACCCGAAGTCCTTATTTATTCTGAGAGGATTGGAATGGCAGTCTTAAGTCTGGTATTTCCTCATGTTTGACAGCTTGAATTACAGGCTCTGGGTACATTTAACGTAACCCATTCATGTGGAATAGTTGTTGTTCTTTTCATAATAGTTTGAAAATATAAATATTTACAAACCCTTAAGACAAAAGCTCTTGCTGACAGACAATATCTGTAAAGCAACAGCTCCCTCGACAGGAACCTTTCTAACTAGTTTTCTACAGACAGAATCTAAGTTCTACTGGGTCGTGTGTACTCCATTTAATGTTAACAGAATCTTTGCAAAATCACTAAAACTTATCTCTTTATATGTTCAAAGAGGGGAGGAAATGGAGCTGGATTGGATTATAGTAGACACCTTTTTGCAACAGGATTCAATGACCTCTCTCCAGGCTAGCCAGACATCACATCCCCAGCTCTGCAGAGAACATCTGAGCCTATGGGAATTCTTACTATTGGGATGCCTTCTTTCTTTCAAGTACCACAAAAACATTCTGCTTACTATAATGTACTGACATGTCATATCTATTTAACTAACTTAAACATGAGACATAGAGAGGCAAAAAGATTCATCGAAAGCCAAACATCTAGCAAGTGGGAATTCCAGAGAGTTGATCATAGACCTTTTCAATCCCTGTTGGACTGGAAAGCCAGGAGAATATTGTTCTTACACTGAGTGAAGATATCCAATAATCACAAAATAGTCTACATCTGCAATCAGAATGCTGTGGCTTGATGGTTCCCAGGTACACCAGGGAAAGAAGGTGGTAAATACTATCTTAGAGATGAAAGGCTGTGTGCCCAAGTGAACAGTGAAGCTCAATATTACTGAGAGTAGGGCAGTCAAAGGTAGTTCAGTGATAGACACTAAGGCCAAAGCTAGAACTCCTAACTTTGCTCTAAGTTTTCTGTTTTGACTAAGGAGTTTAGCAAGACAAACGGTGGGAATCCACTGGAAGCTTTTAGACCACTGTATTTCAAACCTCAGGTTCAGTACAAGCCTACAAAGTGGCAGAATGTGTTGACTTAGGCTACAAACTAACGAAGGTTAAGTTGAGTTTCTCTTCAATTCAGTAAGGATGACACAGAAAGGATTCTGGAAAACACACACACACACACACACACACACACACACACACACACACACACACACACACACACACAGAGAGAGAGAGAGAGAGAGAGAGAGAGAGAGAGAGAGAGAGAGAGAGAGAACCAAAATGCAGTTTTTGTCCACCCCACACAAATTACATAGTTATACACAGTGGATAGTAAAGAAAGTTCTATTTTCCCTTATAAGTTAAGTAAATCAAAAAGTCTAACTGTCATCAGATAACAGACAGAGCTGTGTCCCAGATAATCAAAAGTTCAAGACACAAGACCCAAAGGAAAATGAAAACACAAGGTCAAAGGACATTTACGTTTTGGGATCTAGCTAATCCAACATATTACTTTGGTATATAGAAGAAAAGAAAAAGACAGAAAGATCTGCATATAAACTCCACATCTAGGGAAGCAAGGAGGAGAAAAACAGTGAAGTGTTTGAAGAAAGTGAAAGAGTTTTTGATTTTTAAAATGTTCATGTAAAAGTAGAAGTCAGAAGCTGGCCCAGATGGAGGCAAGGTCTGGGGACCTGAGTACTTCTTTTATGGCCAAGACCAATGAAAAAAAAAAAACTTAAGCCTGGGTAATAGGAAGTCCTGAGGGATGCTGGACAGGCTAGAGGCAGGAAACTATCAAGGAACCCAACTTTGTCCACATCCTAGGGAATCTGTGGTCCTTCATACATTTACCAGCCTTAGCCTCACAGTTTGACCTTGGAGTCATTTCCCATAAATGTGGCCAAGAAAACAGTAAAAAGAAAGAGACAAAAATGAAGAAAACCCCAAACCATTGACTGGGGTCCAGTAGATTCCACGATCAGCATGTTCAGAATGAAAACTCGTGGGGTTTTAATGATTTCTGTACTGAACATATCCTTGCCTGCTTGTTGTTCTAATGAGCTTTTCTTGGCTTCTGCAGTCAGCACTGTGTTCATAGCCCCAGTCCTCTTATTTGCTCATTGTACACCCCTAAGAAATTCTGGCATGCCTTTGGTCCTTACTTTTGAAATATTAAAAAAAATAACTGCCTCACAAGGTGACTTAATGTGAATTAAGTAAAATGAGGTGTTTGAAAATCTTTGCAAGTTCAGAAGCACAAAATTTATGTTAAGCAATGTGAGTAACTGATGCAGAGGTGGTTCATGCCTTCTCTTGCTGAAGACTTCATGCATTCACCCATTCAGTTTGTCCTCATTCTAACCTGGTCAGTTCATATTTTGTGCTACTGGTGATTTCACATGACTAAAAAGTTTTTTGTGATGTGTAATTAAACCATGATGTCATCAGGTAACACCTTTCCTTTTAGATAACTTAGGTTGGATCCTGGCTGAGAACATTTACTGAGGTGACAACTACAGATAAAACTCTAGACATCTGGGGTCATCCCTGTGGATTCCTGGGAACTTCTCTAACACCAGGTTTCTCCCTAACCCTATATTGTCTCCTTCTACCAAGATATCACTTTCATTGCTCTCCCACTCAGTCCTTCCCCCACTTGACCATCCCATTCCCTTATGTTCTCATTCCCCCACCTCCTCCCCTCTGTTGTCCCCTCCTCATCCCCAGTTTACTCATGGAGATCTCTGGCATTCTAGAGCCTACTACCCATGGTGGGATGCCTTGCTCAGCTTTGCTGCAGTGGAGGGTGGCTTGGCCCTGCCTCAACTAAATATACCAGGCTTGGCTGACTCCCCATGGGAACCCCTACCCTTTTGGAGGAGAGGATGGGTAGTAGGTTGTGACGGAAGGCTGCAAGAGGGGCAGGAGGAGGAATGAGAGGGTAATCTGTGATTGGTATGTAAAATGGATAAAGATTTCTTTAAAAAAAACTCTAGACATTCTAATGCTCTATCTAGAAATCTAAATACATTTTTCATCTTAGAGAACAGTTTTAGGAGACAGTACCAAATATGATGGCAAAAACACAACGAAATACACATATCTTTGAAACATCAATCACAAATGGTGTGAATTTAGAACTCAAAATCCTAACTAAACTCAAATTTGGAATCAATAAAAATAAAAAATGCACTATGTAAGGGGAACATGATAATGGGTTAATGGTTTTTAAGAAATTAATTTGGTCATGAGTGTTTTAAAAATATTTTAAAACATTATAAACTTGAAATGAAGTTGGTAATTATATTTTCTAAATTTATATATAATTGTGTTAGTGCTTCTTTACATGAACCTGGGCAACAACTACCCTGAAGGTAATATTAGTTTATTTTTAATAGAGATCATCTACAATTTATCTCTTTTGCCTCTATTTTGTGTCACTAATCCTCGCTCACTGGAAACAGAAATTGAGTGAGAAAAACATCACAGTTTATTGTGAATATTTAAAACATTGAGTTTTGAATGTAGATGTTTTTACTAATGAGCTAAGCTGAGTGACCCTAAAAAAAAAAGACACCCACACTCTGAAAACAATACCATCTAAATTCTTCAATGCTTCCAAAACTCAATTTGAAAGCACCCTACTATGCTGATCTGGGGAGATGGAACTCAAATGGGAAATGTTCAGGTTACCTACACACCAATGTCACCACAGCAGAAGTAACTTCACTTTCTCTCTTTCTTCTTCAGTGAGGACTGTTCAGTTTATCTCTCATTTGTCCTTCCACCATGTATAATGTTAAAGGAGAGTGAGATGTGTAGTCAGAAGATTTCCTGTGTCCCAGCCTACCAGCAGTCAGGACAAATCTCTCCCACTCATGTCCCCCAAGTAAACACAAAGGGGCTTATATTGATTATAACTGTATGGCCACGTCTCAAGCTTTTTGCTAGCTACCTCATATCTTAAATTAGCTCATAACTATTAATCTATGGGTCACCACATGTTCTGTGGCTTTACCTGCATCCCATTATATGTTGCTCCTTCCGCAGCTCAGGCGGCTTTTCCTACCTTCTTCCTGTCTCTCTGTTTGGATTTTCTGCCTGCCTCTAAGCTGCCTTGCCATAGGCCAAATGGCTTTATTTATCAACCAATCAGAGCAACATGTAACCCGCTTCTGGAAGCTGGGTGGCTGTCCATGGCGCCGGTGGCAGAGCAGTGGGTGCTGGTGGAGATGGTGCAGGTGCTGTATAAGGCTCCAGCATACCATCTTATGCTGGAAGGAATTCTAATACTTTGGATAATCAGACTGGTTTTCTCTAAAACTTACAAGTTGCAAGAGAAGTCTGATCTTACAACCAAGGAAAAGGAAGAACTGATTGAAGAGTGGCAACCAGAACCTCTCATCCCATCCGTCCCGAAAAACCATCCTGCTCTCAATTACAACATCGTTTCTGGCCCTCCAACCCACAATAGCGTGGTGAATGGGAAGGAATGTGTAAACTTTGCCTCCTTTAATTTTCTTGGGTTGCTGGCCAAACCTTGGTTAAGGCCACAGCTTTAGCATCTTTAAAGAATTACGGCGTGGGTACCTGTGGACCTTGAAAATTTTGTGGAACATTTGATGTCCATCTGGATTTGGAAGAGCACTTGGCAAAATTTATGAGGACTGAAGAAGCCATCATTTACTCGTATGGATTTTCCACCATAGTCAGTGCGATTCCTTCATACTCTAAAAGAGGGGACATTGTTTTTGTGGACAGTGTGGCCTGCTTTGCTATCCAGAAAGGATTACAGGCATCATGCAATGACATTAAGTTACTTAAGCATAATGATGTAGCTGACCTGGAGCAAGTGCTGAAAGAATAAGAGATTGGAGATCAAAAGAATCTTCTAAAGGCTCATGTGACTCAACATTTTATCATCATGGAAGGATTGTATATGAACACTGGAACCATCTGTCCTCTTCTAGAACTGGTTAAGTTAAAATACAGATATAAAAACAAGACTTTCTGGAGGAAAGCCTTTCATTTGGAGTCGTTGGGGAGCACAGTCAAAGAGTCACTGAGCACTATGTGATTAGCAATGAGGACATGGACCTAATCAGTGCTAACATGGAGAATGCTCTAGCATCTGTCTGGGCTTCTGCTGCAGCAGGTTTTTGGTGGTTGATCATCAGTGGCTGTCTGGCCAAGGATATTGCTTTTCAGATTTGTTACCTCCCCTGTTAGCTGCTGCTGCCATCGAGGCCCTCAACATCATGGAGGAGAATTCAGGCATTTTTGCAGTTTTAAAGGAAAAATGACAGTAGCAACCATAGAGACCTGGAGGTCTGTATAGACAGACAGTGACAGAGCTGTGTAGGAAGAGGAAAGGAGGTAGCTGGGCTAAGAGCCAATGAGAGGGCAGAAAAGCAAGGCATATAAGCCTGGGTAGACAGGAACTGCACTGTAAGCAACTTCCAAAATTCTGGAAATGACAGAGACAGCTGCCTGCCTGGACAGTTACCCAAAGCTCCTCTGTAAAGCTGGGGCATCCATCTTCAGCCCATAGGCCTAGTCTTTCAGTCATTTTGTTTCTCTGTGTCCTATAGAATGTCTGGTAGTCTCCTCTGTGAAGCAGGAACCTGAAGGACCATCTTGCCTTGCAAAGTTCAGTGGTCACCTTTCTTTTTTTGTTGTTGTTTTGCTTTGTTTTGTTTGTTTGTTTTGGTTTTTTTTGAGACAAGGTTTCTCTGTGTAGCTTTGTGCCTTTCCTGGAACTCACTTTGTAGACCAGGCTGGCCTCAAGCTCACAGAGTTCTGCCTGGCTCTGCCTCCCAAGTGCTGGGATTAAAGGCATGTGCCACCACTGCCCGGCCCCAGTGGTCACCTTTCTATGGGTCCTGCATGTCCAGTCAAGACAACATTTTGTCAAGCACTCTAGGCAAGAACAGTTTCTTACCCAAATGGCTATTTTTGCCAAGAAGAAGATAAACTCCATATGGAGTGTCTTCGATGCCCATCTTTCTCTTTAAAGTAAATCAGTGCTGCCAGGAGCAGAAGTGTCTCACTGTCCAGAAAGTCTAAGTTTTTAAAACATTGTTGATTTACAACTCTGTAGGTCTTTGAAGTGTTTGAAGATTACCTACCTAACTGAAATGTATCTATGTATACCTAGAAAACTTAACCAACATGACAATAAGTTTGATTATCCTAGATGACTATTAATTTGTATTTCTTAATTATCCTTTAAAATTTAAATGAGTTACATAAACATAATATCTTAAACAAGAGTAGAAATACACAGTATAACAAAATTAACTTTATTTGTATCAATAAACTAAAATCCATAGCATTGTAATACATTTCAAACAAGTTGTTGCTCTTTAAAAGTAGATCCAATAATCTACCCTTTCATCTTATCATATCTGTACTATCCCCTTTTCTTCTTTAGAAAGAGATTGCCTTTATAATCAACCCCCTTTAAATAAAAATAAACAGTCATAAACAATATTTTGGGAATTTGGGCACAGCTTCTCATACTACTTCCTGCTGCTTTTGGGCACTGGTAGTCTTATGGGGATCCTGAGAAAATTAAGAATTATGGTCAAGTCCTAACTAGAGTCGTCTGTGATGCTGCATTGTCTGAGCCAGCTGCCTTGAAGATGGTTTTGCATGTTAGATCATCTGGATCATCTCAGCGGGTCTTGGCAGGTCAAACCATGTTAGCCTGGACACAATCTACACATTTTCATCTTCTATGGAAACAAAAGTAGAACCTCTTTTCCAAAGCACCATATCCTTAGACATAAATTTTGAAATCAAGATATCTGTAAAATATACATACTGGTCAAACCTGATGTATCTTAATCTGGAACAAATCCATAGCCTCTGGCTTTCTGTGGATACAAAAGTAGAGCCTCTTTTCCAAAGCAACATAACTTTATATCTAAATTTTGAAGTTAAGGTACCTTTAAAATATACATATTGGCTTAACTCAATAGCTTTTATAATTAAATGTCTTTTTGTAGTTAAGAATATCAAAGACAACATAATCCAGATTTTTCTGTGTGGCATCCATCTTTACATGGCTTATTTTTTATATTAATTTTATTGTCTCTTTAAAGACTTTATATTTTAAAACTATGTATTTTTTGTATATAACTGTATATATCTTTTTTGTTTCTTTTAAGTCTACATATATTTTATACATTGTAAACTATTTTATCTGAATCTGTTTTATTGTGAACCTATTGTTTTTTGTTTGTTTATTTGTTTTCATGATGAATTTAATTTTACATATCAGCCACGGATTCCCCTGTCCTCCCTCCTCCCAACCCCCAGCCTTTCCCCCAAATCCTCCCTCCATTCCCACCTCCTCCAAGGAAAGGCCTCCCCTGGGGATTCAGCCCTGTCTGGTAGATTCAGTTGAGGCAGGTCCAGTCCCCTCCTCCCTACACCAAGGCTGAGCAAAATGTCTCAGCATAAACCCTAGGTTCCAGAAAGCCAGCTCATGCACTAAGGACAAGTCCTGGTCCCACTGCCTGGGGGCCTCCTAAATAGTTCAAGCTAATCAACTGTCTCATTTATCCAGAGGGCCTGATCCAGTTCCATGGGGGCTCCTCAGCTATTGGGTCATAGTTCATATGTTTCCACTAGTTTGGCTATTTGTCCCTAAAAAAAGGGGAAGTGCTGTGGATGTTGTTGATAAATAAAACACTGATTGGCCAGTAGCCAGACAGGAAGTATAGGAGGGACAAAGAGAGAGGAGTATTCTGGGAAGTGGAAGGCTGAGGCATGGAGATGCTGCCAGCCGCCGCCATGACAAGCAAGATGTAAGGTACCGGTAAGCCACAAGCCACATGGCAACTTATAGACTAATAGATATGGGTTAATTTATGATAGAAGAACTAGATAACAAGAAGCCTGCCACAGCCATACAGATTATATGTTATATATATATATATATATATATATATATATATATATATATACACACACACACACACATATACATATACGTATATGTGTGTATATGTATATATATATATATATATATATATATATATATATATATATATATACTGATTTAACTCAGCAGCTTTTTTTTTTTTTTTTTTTTTTTGGTTTTTCGAGACAGGGTTTCTCTGTGTAGCTTTGCGCCTTTTCCTGGAACTCACTCGGTAGCCCAGGCTGGCCTCGAACTCACAGAGATCCGCCTGGCTCTGCCTCCCGAGTGCTGGGATTAAAGGCGTGCGCCACCACTGCCCAGCTCTAACTCAGCAGCTTTTACAATCAAATGTAACTCTGCAGTTAAAAATCCCCCCAAAACAGAGATGTCCATACCAGATCTTGATATTGAACTTGTTAGCCTCTAGAACCTTGAAAAAAAAATAATTTTTCCTCTTTACAATTGCCTAGTTTTGCATATTCTGAAACAGCAGTAGGAAATGGAATAGGTCTATCAACCATTTTTCTCACCTGAAAAAAATGGTATTGATCGGACCAGTTCTTTGTGTTGTTCAGTTCTTTGTATTGTTCAGGAAAAGAAAAGTAAGTAGGGCACAGTTTCATGTTATAGTCTTACTCATATGAGCTTAGGTAAGTACTTTTAAATTTATGTATGTAAATAGTTTCTTACAGAATAGTCAGCTTACTAATGCCTATGTTTCTAGTGGCATAAGTATTGAGTGTGTTAAATATTAATACACATCACTATTTAGTGCCTGGTACACATGAAGAGCTAAATAAATGTTAGGTAGCCATGCCTGTGAAACAGCATCTGACACATGGTGGAACAGAAGAAATTGCAAACATCATATATATACTTATTCAATAATAGTTTCTTTTTATAAAATAAGATTTACCCATTTTGTAGAATAAAAGACTGAGGCATACTGTCTGGGAATACTCCAATTCCACAAACACCTGGGACCATAACCCAGGCACTTAAAAATTCCAAAACAAGGTATCATTCCTTCTGAAGTATTCCAGGAATCAGGCTGACCCTCTGGTTTCTCAATAAACATGTTCTTTCCATTAAAGCCTTTCGACGCAGATCTCAGGCCCTGCATTGAAAAGCGAAGTTACTGCCGTAAGCTGACAGTTTGGAATTCACTCTACTTGCTCAAGTTCTTGAGTTTCATATATATGTATGTATGTATGTATATGGAAGTTAAATATATCTTCTGAAGGTGATTTATGAGGACTTTTTGACAGGGTTCAGGAGGATTGCTCAGAATACACTTGTGGACTGTATGCCGTAATCTAAACACTGGAAGGAATGTTTTTAGAGAACAATTCCCCAAGTATCCCCATCACAGAAATCACAGTACCCTAAACTTGAAACATTTGCCCCCGCAAAAAAAAAAACCTCATCTTGCCTTTGAATTGAAATGGACTACAGTTATTATACATTTGTGGTTTATCTGGTTCATATTAAGTAACTAAAGGGAAATGAGTACATTTATGGCTTCAGTGGGAGAGAAGCACAATGTCAGCCTCCCAAGCTCAGCGAGGTAGCTCTTCCCAAGGAGAGACTTATGTGGATTACTTCCTTTTCTCTACTGGGAGACAGTGGCAG